CCAATTAAAATGTATAATAAATAAACAATAATAAGTTCAACGCCGTTGACTTTTTGTATGATTAATTAATCTCTAATTATTTCAATTCTCCGCAGATACATACCTGAAAAATAAATAAATAATTATTAATATTTAACTAATAACTGATACAATAAGTATAATTTGTACTCATTTAAAATACGCTTTAATAGATTATACAGTTAAAAACATAATTTAGGCATCGTTTTTTTTTTATGAATGATTGATTTTTTGAAATCGAGTCTCCGCTAAATATTGGATAAGACCTCGCAGAATCGTTTTATACCTACTCTTAAAAAATATTATACATTTTAATTTTTTACACGGAATTAATATTATTAGGTACACTGTTTTACAGATAATATATTATACGTGCGAAACCGTCGGTCGAGCGCAACTGTTAATGTGACCCAGTCGGAATCGAAAAGTAAAATTTTATTCCCCTTAAATTACAAAAAAAACACATAGGTACTCGAATAAACTATAATATTAGCAGCCTACGACCGGCACAGGGATCCAAAATAAGCCAACGACAGACGGACAAGTCGTAAAACCGTATCTACTGGCACATTTCGTTCCGTTCGGGTTATTTTCATAAATCTCAATACTTCCGGTTCGGAGAGGCAAAGAAGACGCTCTCGCTGCAATTCCCTCGGCGGCGGCGGCGGTGGCGGCGGTACGCCTCACGCCATATAATATAAGGCACGGGTTTCGCCGGAAGAGTAAATATTTACGTAAGTTTTTTTTTTTACTTTTTTGGGGCGGGTGACGTAAAATATATATTTATTGCCACGGACAAGCTGCTACCCGCGCGACGTAGACGCGTATTTTATTCCCGAGCGCGCAATGCATAAAATACGCGAGCCCGAAACGACCCGAGCGTCGTCGTCGTCGTCGTTTTTCCTTTTACGCGTTTCGCCGCGCCCCGGTCATAGAATAATAATAATAATAATAATAATATAAATATAAATATAGTGTTATACGCACACACAGCCGTCCGTGTGCAATGCGAAATTCAACAATTATTATTATTATTTTACGTATACATTTTATTCGAAACCGAAAGTTTCCGCATAGTCCTTCGCCCCCGCTCGAAGCCAGGCGTTTAGGTCTGCGGGCCGTGCGAAGCACATAAATTCAATTACGAGTGAATATATTATATATGTATATACATAAAGCTGACGTCTTCTTGTGAGCCAAACGCGAATTAATACAGCGACGGAGGGGCGGCGGGTTTCAGAATGATTTAATAAACATTAAATAATAAAAAAAAAAAGGCAAAAGTTTAACCCCAGTGGATTACATAATTAAGCGTATTTTATTATTATTTTTCTATACACTTACACCCGATGTGTATTTGATTATATAATGCTAATTTTTAAAGTAACATATGTTGAGCATATTTTCTAGAAATCTATGAAAAGTAATAAAAGTTTGTTTACAGATATAATATATATCAGTTACATAGTTAAATATTTATCAGTTAAATACTTAAATGTACATCACCCAGTATAATAGTTTGATTGTTGCTAAATCACATTTTTCTCGAACAGTTATTTATTGCTACCTACGAGTATAATGTGCTATTATTTGGTATACCGTTTTTATTTATTTGAACAACTATTATAAATTAAAAATATAAAAATTTAAATAATAAATTAACTTATTATACAACGTGTGTTCGAACTACCAATCTTCAGAATTGATTTTGTTGACCGATACAGCGATGCAATGAGTATATTAATTTTCGATCAACGGTGTACTGTATGCCAAAACGTCCAAGTACATACATTTATAAAGTCAATAGCACATTTGAGGGGTGGAACGAAGGACGTTTGATTGAAACACTTGAGTCACCAAGTTCATATTACGTCAAAATGATATTCTAATAATATGTTTGGACTAAAATCAATTAAATTTAACTATTATAATACTATATTTTAGATAATAATGTGTAATATTCATATTTTTACATTATAAATTATAATTAATGATACATTTCTGTAGGTCCCGAGCGAGAATAAAAAGTGACTCTACAGGAACTGTTTTCCAAATTAAATTGAAAAATGTCAAAGCGCATATTATGATCGACCATGGAATGTGGAAGATTAATTATACGCAAGACAACCGATCGTTAGTCGTTACAATGACATTTAAAATTCAAAAAACTAATTGTTGAGCAGTGGACTTGTCCAATTAGCTTTAAATCGGGAACACGGAAAAAAACCTTAAACAGCACACGTAGCATAACCGATACATATTATTATAATATACACCTAACCTACGAGTGACGTACCTACATACGATAGATATACGTTATATGGTCGATCTATTGAATATCACATAGGTATCAGATTGAAATACATATTTTATTTACCGTTATTTTGTCTAATATTATTAAGTACTAATTCATTTATATTTATGCATTTTTAAAGTATTTAAAACGATCACAATTTTCAAAGGTATTACAAAACGTACATCTACTTATTATGTATTTACTATTTATTTAATCTGTGTTCAACAATTTAATTGTAGTTCCTATATATTATGATGGTAAAGATAAAAAAATTCCCCATTATTTTAACACGAAATTGATGGTGAAATTAAAATACTATACTAACTCTATACAACAAAATATTATTTCGCAGCATCCTCGATGCACAATATAGTCTGCGCACTGGAGCAGTTACATCGTTAGTCGTTGCCATATATGTAATTATTCAATTATTACATGCACATCGTCGTCGACGCGATGTTTAATAGCAATAATAACAGGTTTCGCATAATCATCGATCCTCCTTTCGGTCCAGATTTTTCGGTATGCGTCTTAAAACAACTCTTCCGCCATTTCGTCCCTGCAGCAACAACAATGGATATACACGACGACGACGACGACAATCTTTCCTACGTCGGTCGGTCGGTCACGCGCACACGACTCGTCGATTAAACAATCAAATCTCGAAGATTTATATTCGCATGTAACGTATACGCCTTAGCCGCGATAACTCTCTCTTTGGTGCCGCGTATCGGTCTTCATTAACATATTATATTATAATATACACTCGAACCATACATACGGTTACCGACGGTCGACTCTGTATAGTCTATGTATAGATACTATGTTATATTACCTATAAGTGCATGTGCAGTACTCGTGTGCGGTGGTGGGGTGCCTTTTCCTCGGGTGATTTATGCGATTTCGTACGTGATTTATTTGTGAGTATATAGGTAGTATATAATATAAATGCGGTGTTATTTTTCATTTTTTTGCTTTGCTTCAGGAATCTTTGGCCGACAGACCGACGAGTAAACGCCGCGACCTTTATACCCGACGAGAACACAGTGTTTTCATCGTTGCATAACTCATATGGTACATATTATTACATATATATTATATATCATTTATGTATGTTACATGCAGTATAATAATATACATATATATATAATAGGTCCTCCGCATTAGTTATTGGTCCGACACGTTTTTGGAAGAAATTGCACGATTTGAAATATGACGATGTGTGGTGACTGGCGAGGGAAAAATCGAAATTTAAATGGGTTTAATAGTTTAATGCATATAATATTATATAGTATTTACAGTTTCCACGTATCATCAACCTCTTTGGAAGGGGTTTGATATAGCCAATTTTAATAAAAAATTTGAAAAATATATATATAAATACTTAACTAGGTACTCAAAGTAATTTACAAAGGATAGACACCGTGTTAGAGTTATTATCGGTTGTTATGTATGGAAAAGGTTGTAATTATGAACAGATAAAAAAAAACGGGGAAAATAAACCGATAGTCTACCTCTATACAGAAACAGTTTTTAAATCTAATTTTCACTATAAAAAGATAAGAAATTCTTTTTCGAAATCATACCTAAAAAAAAGGGGAGGGTATAGCACAGAAAAATGTCTATGCTTGTAATAGTGAAAACTTGGTTTCTCACTATGTATATAATACGTATATAGGAATATAGACTACGTAGTATTTTTTTCCTGCTCAAAACAATTTTTTTATTGGAATGTTCTCTATAGCCACACCAAAGAAGCGAACATTTTTAGTTTAGAAATGTGTACACAAATTCAATTAAATAAAATATTGGCATATACTAGAACAATATTAGGACGACTCGACTAAATATCTTGCTGAAATTTCCTCGATGAGAAACTAACCTTATAGAAAAACACAATTTATCAATAAACAAAAAAATTACAGGAGACCACTCAATAATAAAATGAAATTATTTAATCAAGTATAGTTATTAATATTATAGTTAAATAAAAAAATAATGTTATAAAGTACGAATCGATCGGAATAATTTGCTAGGTATGTCATTGAAAACCTACCCCCGTGAACAACAACTCTCCTCTACAAATCAGTATTAAAAAAAGCTATATTATGTAGAAATATACACGGACGCATTCAAATTTGACGTAGGAGTAAGAATCGCCATCACCACAAAAAACATTATGCGTCTCGTGTGGAATTCTCTATAAAACACATTTTAACAGAATGTCACGGATATGAAAACGAAAGTAAACAAAATAATTTACCAGATCATCTCCACGAAATCCTAGGACCTCCTCAAACAGAAGCAGCTAACAAAATATTAAACATTTTTAAACAATTAGATTTTTATAAACTTGTATAATATGTATAATATTAAAAATAATAAAGTTGTAACACGTCACATTATACGTTGATAAACCTTGACGGATCTATAAAAAAAAAAAAAACAAAAATACACTCTGTATAGAAACTGCATAAGTAAAAAAGGTAAGTAGGTAATTATGATTAAATAAAAACAATAGTTTCTAAGTATGAGTTAAGGCATAGTAGTACTTATTTTATTATTAAGTATACATTTTTGAATATAAAACACAAATATATTATGGAACACAAAAATCATTGTATCGATCACAACGATAATAATAATACGACATTACGACGTGACGATCACATTTTACTACTACAGTCTAGTCTAAGTCAGCGGCGGCGGCGTCCGCTTCTGCAGATATGCGCCGTTGGTCGTACACTCGCTTCATGTGCTTCAGCAGGCGCTCCAAGTTGACACCGTGCTTGGCGGATATCTCGACGATCTCGTCGTCGGGCAACCGGCGCCTGAGTTCAGCTAGATTGTCTCGAGCGCCGTCCACATCCACCTTGTTGGCGACGATCAGCTGCGGCCGGTCGAGCACCGTGGCCGAGAAACACCGGACCTCGTGCCGGAGCACATCCACGTACGTCCATGGCTCGGGCGCAGACAGGTCGACGACCAGTAGCAGCGCGGTGCACCGCTGAACGTGCCGCAAAAACGACACGCCCAGGCCGCGGTCTCGGTGTGAGTCCTCGATGAGCCCAGGCAGATCAGCCACGGCCACTGACTCTTGGTCGCCGTACCGGACCACTCCCAAGTGCGGCTGGAGCGTGGTAAACGGGTACGGAGCAACCTTAGGTCGGGCCCGGGTGATGGCTCGGAGCAGCGTGCTCTTGCCCGCGTTAGGAAATCCCAGCAACCCGAAATCGGCGATGCTGCTCAGCTCTAGCGTGTACCGGAGTACCTCACCCGCGCCTCCCAATTCGGCCACCTCGGGCGTCTGCTCCGTATCCGTGGCGAAGTAACGGTTCCCGTGGCCACCCGCCCCGCCCCTGGCCGCCACAAACATGACGCCCGGCCGGCTCAGGTCGCCAACCACCCGGCCGGCGCCATCCTTGACCACAGTGCCAACCGGCACGTCCACGTACTCGTGACCGGCGCACTTTCCGTGGCAGTCTTTGTTGTAGCCACGCTCGCCTGGGGGCGCCCTGAGCTCAACGGATACGTGCCCTAGCCCGGTCACGTTCTCGGCAGCCCGGAATACCACGTGGCCGCCGTTACCTCCGTCACCGCCATCCGGGCCTGCGTTCTCATTGCCGAAAAGCTTCATGAACGACACGCGCCCATCACCGCCACGGCCACCGAACGCACGGACAGTCTTCTCGTCCACCAAGTGCTTGGACGGCGCCCGATCAGATTTTTTCTTGGTGCAACGCAACGGCGCGGCCACCGCTCCGTCTGCCGTTGAGGAATACCGTAGATTATGCTGTTGATGATGGAGTTGTGGTTGGTACTGGGGCTGCCGGTGAAGCTGCTGACGGCCGCATACGAACGCGGAGGCCACTCGGCGACCGATCCGGGATGACGACCACATCAGGATCATAAACCGCTGACGACGACGACGACCGGTTTCTTCTGAAATCACACGAACACCAATTTGGCGATCAGACACGCGTGTTCAGTTTGGCGGCGTTGGTGGGTATCCGGTCGTCGCGGGAGTCTTAACAATAATAATATTATCACATACGCATGATGTTGATAAAACTGGGGCTATTTTTCATTATATTTAGGTTTAACAATTTTTGTGACTGATAAAAACGTTATTGTCTTTCCGACATACTATAAGCCCAACGACGTGGAATTAGCGAAAGACGGAAATGGTGTGTTTGAGGAGTCTGGAGTGAAGTCCAAGGACAGAAAGGAATCGAAAAATTCAAATAATTTAGTTCTTTATTATGTACTATCAAAACCTATACATAACTAGTAGAGCAGTTGCGATTCTATATTATATTTTATTTTAATGGAAATGCAGTTTTAACAGAAACTCCTATTATACGATATGCGTCTCCAGTGTTTTTACATTTTTTTATACAATTGTTTAAAATATATAATAATGTGAACGCGATACAACTGTTTCAATAGGTACGTTTGTAGGATTATGTTACATCGGTGCATAATTAGACATATATAAGTATACTTAAGCTATACATTTACAATTTACATGCTAAGTGTATAATATATATAGTTTTACTAAACACACTTATGAACATAATATTCTATATTTTTTTCAGTATATTATAATATATTATTATTATTATTTATAGTCATATAGGTGTACAATATTATTTGATGGGACTAAAACGCGCGAGGACGAACTATACCTATATTATTACAAGTATTAAAACTATATGATAATTAAATAATTCTTATAACACTATATTACGGTATAAAAATAGTTAAGTAGTAATTAATAATTATTAATTTGAGACTGAATGGATGAGCAGTACCTAATAGTTATTGCATAATACATAATACATAATACATAATAACGTATAATTAAGGTATTTACAATAAATTGCACTATATTATATTATATAATATATATGTTTAAACAAGTATGTATATATGATAAGACAATATCGCGTGTTTAAGAGCCACCGATGTGCCTCGTCTGGAGACTTCCAACCGTGTCCGAGAGACACACGGTTCGATGCGTCTGCAAACACTTTCGACTTCTCTAAATAATAAATTCAATATGTGGTCAAGAATTTCTAAATATCCGTCTTTTCCTAAACGGTCTTAATACCTATGTACTCTAAGCGCTAGTGGATACGAGATTGGTCGTTGTAAACGAATAAAGCTATAGAACAGGCGTCGGCAATGGACGGCCCGTGGAGTGGAAATAACTGAACGGCCAAAAATATTTTTTTAATGCTAGTTTTCCGCACATAATAGATATTTGATCTAGCTTACACTGTATTTTTAACACAAAAATAAACACATCATATTGACTAATATTTAAGTTTTTGCTTGCCCTCGAAATTTTTTTTTTAAATTATCTGGATCGCCATAGAATTTAATTGCCGAAACCTGCTATATAACATATATTCTGTACTCATAATCTTTTTAGGATATGATAAATATGATATTTGAAATATCCGAATTTGTTGTTATCGTCGTATCTATGCGATTACCAAGCACACAAAGTCATATTCAGCAACGATAAGCTAGTGGATGAGGTTTCATTTTTTTTTAGAACTTATATAAGCTTTTCTATTACATTATTTTTTACATTTACTACAATATCTAAGTAGGTACAAATAAACACACACATTATATTATCATAGGCGTTGTATTTTAAAAAACAAAGACAATTTAACAACTATTGAATATTAATATATTATTTAAAGGCACGTATTTTGGGTCAAAAACAGCCTATAATAATATAGGTATCTATTTTTCACTAAGCTGTCGATATATTCAAACATGTAGCAATATCCTTACAATTTGTTGTAACTGCGGCATAGTAAAAGCGGTACCTAACAAACCCGACTGATTTGGACGAATAAATTTCGAGTTCGTTAAATTTACGGTAATCTACACGAAATTGTTACAAGGTTTGGCGCGAAATGTTGTGTATATGACGTATAATTGGATGAAAGCGTAAGCCATCAGCGAGTATAGTTGTGTGAACATTTAAATAATCGAGAGGAACGTTTGTTTTTCCAGTAACACTAAAACACGTGTCGACGAATAACATAATATAATAATGTAACACCACGGTAAAAATGCAAACAGATGCTAATTGCGCATTGTATACAATATAGGATATATTATAGATATACACGTTGGAAATTATATGGTCGGAGCTAATTACAGGTATTTATTCACCTGTCGTGTACGACAATAAAGACGAAACTGAGTGCGTAGTGCGTACCATTAATATGGCAAACGGATAAAATATGTCACCTGTGTATATAAACGAGACCATTCACCATATCGAATCGTAGTAAAATTGGTATATTACACTGTATGATAATGAACGATCAAAATCCAAAACCTATCTGTACATGCCAATAACCTTAAAAATTACTATAATATGTAATATTTAATAGGTAGTTGGCATTAATATTTAAAATTATTCTATAGATACAAAATTAAAATATTAAATATACGGTTAAACGGTATCAAACGCGATTTTCAGACCGTCGACTAATATGTATGTATATGTATATATATATATGAAATACATTTGTATCAACTGTAAGAAAAAAGGAAATCGAATAAAAATATAATAATCGTTTCTTACAAGTCACTAGAACAACACATTGTCAGGATAACAAATTTAAAATAATATTATTATTCTAAAATAATTTGAACAATTATTACTCTTCCAGTTTCTTCTTTTCGCCTTGGTACGAGATAGAAGAGACGCTACGGAATATTGTAATTGTTGATTTGAAAACGATTTTGTATGGTACAAAACACGCCCGCTAACATAAGTTTTCCTTCAAAATCTTTAAGTATATCGCATCATATATTTCTGAAACACTCACTGGTAGAACGGACGATTAAGTAGTTTTGTGTACTACATTTCTAGTATTATTGATCAGAAATCGAGTAGGTATATATAGATATAAGATTTCAAAAGTGTAGTTAATTCACGCTCATAATTTCTAAATGTTCCTCTGAATAAAAAACTATCGCAAACAATACCAACCATATTTTTTTTAAACATCAATAAGTGAAGTTCTATGTTCTGAATCGTTTTTTGAATGAGATTATTTTTTATTGCTATCAATAATGTGTAATACGACACACCCCGTCACTATCATGCGACATATAAGCGAAACGTGTGCCAAACATCAGGTCCTCGTGTCCTAAGGTAAGGCTTAAGGTTTCCATGTCTTAATTTAAAATTTGATTAATTATAATAATTATTATTATTAAAAAATTTTAATTAAAAGAAAAAAAATTGGTAGATAAATAGTTTAATTCAAGAAATAAACAATAGGAGTTCTTCCACCAACCACCCACCTCTTCTTCATAACTATGGAAGTATTGTCTACATTTAAACCAAGGAAAATATTATAATAAATACTGTCATTGTTCTAATTTGAAAAATAATAGCGTATACAAAAATAATAAGCTAATAAAAAGCTATAATAGGTACGTGAACTATTAACAAATAAACAAAGGTACACGAACAGTGAGCAGACACAATGAGAGTAAGATATTATTGATGATGGTTTAATACAAATGTATTGTATTAAAAATATTGTGAAATTGATACATACATTCTTCAAAATAAAACAATTAAGTATTATTTAAATATTATAGGCAACAAATTAATATTATTTTGTACAAAATTTTATTTATAACTTAAGGTAAAGATTATACTACAAATATATTTCATAATTTATAGCTAACAATTAAAATATGTACATAATATAGTTTAAAAAAATTAAAAACAACAAAATGTGGCAATATAGTATACCTATAGTCATTTACTGGACATTTGTAATTATAACGAGTAAATAAATAATTACGATATAATATATTAATATTATTTTAATATTCAAGTATATTTCAATTTGTTGACGTACCTACTGCTATAAACATTTTTACTATAAACAATATATAAATTATGTGGAATTCAAAAAGATACTGACATTTAATCAAAATTTACTTGAACAAAATAAAAACCTGACTAGCTTTTTTTTCATTCAAACAATAATTGTGATTTACTTTTGGAGCACAATATGTGGTGTAAATCCAGAAATCCAGACAACAGAAAATAATGGTTATAGAAATGATCAGAATGGTCGATGAACAAAAGACATTCGTGGGATGTTCGACTGAAAATGAATTACCTTCATCTAAAAAATGTAAATCAATAATACATCAAACAATACTTACACATAACAAAGACATTTTTTTAGAAAAATGTATATAAAGTAAGAGTTGAATTAAAAATAAATAAAAACACACCGTTAGTCTTATTGGATAGCTTTTCACCAACTTTACGACATTTTATAACTGAAAGACTTTAAAACATTTAAAATAACTATCATGCAGAATTGAATCATAAAAAAGTTATCTGCAATAGTAATAACCAAAAATATTATCCATCTACAGATGGATATCAGCACCAATACAAATTTTATATCCAGGAATGTCGAAGATTTTAAGTTATCACTATAATATGAGCACAATAGTATAATACAGGGCCGGCCTTAGGGAGGCCTCACGCATTTACGACATTTTGGGTTATAATGATGCGTTACAAAAAATTATATTCTGAGGTCTCGACTAAAATAAGTTACCCCTATTCTAGCTCCACCTTGAGACCGGCTCTGGTATAATATTCCTAATATACGATAGTATATACTTAAATTATACAATTTTTCTAATTTATTTAATATTATTAACAATAATAAGAATGTTTTTATAATATTGAAGTATCCTAATATTAATTAAATATTGTCGCAAAAACAAATACCATCGACCGTGGTTATTAGTATATTTTGTATTTAATATATTATTTAAATTTCTTATCAGCTATTTCTGGAATTTAAAAAATTTGATCCACATTAGACAAAT